GGGGTGGTGAGGGCAGAGAGAGACACAGAATCCGAAGCAGGCTCCAGGCTCTGAGCTGTCAGCACAGAGTCTGATGTGGGGCTCGAACGCACAGACAGTGACATCATGACCTGAGCTGAAGTTGGATGCTTACCTACTGAGCCACCCAGGTGCCCCTGGGTGCATCCATTTCTGAGCAATTGAGGATACAGCGAGAGCCACACATACTCAGGAAAGCCATGCCTCCCGTAGGCCCAGCCCTGTTTTGCCCTCAAAGAACACATAAGCCATCTCCTCAGAAGGGATGAGTTGCTACCTTTGCTGGGGCTGATTTAGAGAGAGAGAAGAGAGAAAGAGGAAAAGGTGATAAAATACAGAGGGGTCAGTGCGGCCACAAGGGCAAAGGAACAATGTCAGTTAAAAGAAAGATGAGCGGGGCGCCTGGGTGGCGCAGTCGGTTAAGCGTCCGACTTCAGCCAGGTCACGATCTCGCGGTCTGTGAGTTCGAGCCCCGCGTCGGGCTCTGGGCGGATGGCTCAGAGCCTGGAGCCTGTTTCCGATTCTGTGTCTCCCTCTCTCTCTGCCCCTCCCCCGTTCATGCTCTGTCTCTCTCTGTCCCAAAAATAAATAAACGTTGAAAAAAAAAAAAAAAAAGAAAGATGAGCAATGCGCCTTCCTTCGATCCCTCCTGAGACTTCTTGGGAGCGCTTCCCAGGGTCACAGTGGTGACTTGGCCTGAGCTCACGACTGAGCTGAGAACACACCGAACACTCATCCACATTAGGATTCTGAGAGAGCCATCCATAGACATGGCCCCAGTCAGCCTTCCCATGCCCTGAACTGGCCCATCTGTGAGGATGTGGAATGAGGGCCTCCTAGACCTGGGAGGACCTGATCCATTCACCAGTCTCCAGCCATGTTTCTCCTTAAAGATTCGGGGATGCTCCGCCAGTTTCCCTCAGAGCTCCCTCTCACTGGACTTGCACCACTGGGCAAACAGGCGTCCCATGACCACATGAAATTCCCTGTTTAGAAGGAAGCCCATCGTTGTTCCATCTTTGCCAACACAAAGAAACATCAGCATAACTTCGTGGAAAATCCACCGCAAACTTAGGGGTCGAAATGAACACTAGACAAAAGTATAAGCTATGATATTATACATACTCACGCCTTATAGATTGGCAAGCATGTTTCTACACACTATTATTTGATCACCTCAGCAACCCATTTTACAGATGAGGAAACGGAACCTCATCAAGGTTAATGATTTGCCCCAGGATGCACAGCTGGTGAGTTGTGCCCAAGATTCACCTTGATTCTGTTATTTTCTCTTTCTTTAGGCTAAACAATCCAAATACGGTTGAGGAGAGAGAAAAGGAACTAAACAAGTGGAATCAAATCCTACAAGTGGAGGGTGAGTTTGAAGGGGGTCTGCTAGGAACTGTTTTGAAACTCAGGTTGACTTACTTCCCACACTTCTCCTTACCTACCCCCGAAGTTTTCTGACCAAGAACAGAACTTACTTTGTGCAATGGCCATGACTCCAGAGAGGGGGGTCATGATGAGGTTTTGAGATTGCTGGGGATTATGGTGGGACAGGCTGTGGATATTCGTCAAGGTGCTGACGGGGGGCAGACCACCTCCTGAGACTGAGATCTGCTGGAGAGAAAAAACAAAAACACCATGAGTGGAGCGGGATTGCAAAAAGCAGTGTCCAAATTGACATAACTCGGGGCACCTAGGGGCTCAGTGGGTTAAGCGACTGACTTTGGCTCAGGTCATGATCTCGCGGTCTATGGGTTTGAGCCCCGCATTGGGTTCTGTGCTGACAGAAAAAAAAAAATTTTTTTTTTAATGACATGACTGAGCAATTCCTTGGCACAGCTCATTCATTCATTCATTCATTCACTCATTCAGTAAAAATTATTAAGCATACACTGAGGCACATTTCTAGATGCTGGAGATAGAGAAGTAAAATACCCAATAATCCCTTCCCTATGATGCTTCCAGTGGCTGACTATTTTTTTTTTCTTTTAAGTGAAAAATGTTTTTAACATTTATTTATTTTTGAGAGACAGAGTGCAAGCAGGGGAAGGACAGAGAGAGGAGACACAGAATCCGAAGCAGGCTCCAGGCTCTGAGCTGTCAGCCCGATGTGGGGCTCGAACCCACAACCCATGAGATCATGACCTGAGCCAAAGTTGGAGGCTCAACTGATTGAGCCACCCAGGTGCCCCTCATTGGTTGACTATCTCTGAGTTCCTAGCCTGCCTCAGACATTCTTCTGCCCATGGGGTATTAGAGGACTGTCACTTGCTTAATTTGGAAGTATCCTCTGTTCTGCTCTGTACCTTGTGTATTATTGGAGCTAAAGACACGTGGCTGCTAAAACTAATAACTGAAGAAATGCTCTGGGAGAGCAGACTGGGGACCAGGCAGAAGTGCAAGAAAGCTTTCACGGACTACAGGCTCCATTAGGTACCACTTGTACATTAACTTACAAACTTCATGATAGTTCCATGAGGCAGATACTTCTGCCATCCCTGTTTCCCTGATGAAAAAAACCAAGGCTCAGAGTAGATATGTATAATGCCTAAGATCCAATAACCTAGTAAATGGTATATCTGGTATTCAAACACAGGTCTGTCTGCCTCTAGAATTTGAGTTCTTTTAGAGAACTTCTTTTAGAGAGAAACTTTCCCCACCCCTGCAATTATTATCAAGGGTTGCAGGGGGATCAGACATCATTGGGCTTCTCTACCTTTTCCAAATCTCCACTATCCATTAAAAGATTTTTTTGGGGGGGGGGGCGCCTGGGTGGCGCAGTCGGTTAAGCGTCCGACTTCAGCCAGGTCACGATCTTGCGGTCCATGAGTTCGAGCCCCGCGTCAGGCTCTGGGCTGATGGCTCGGAGCCTGGAGCCTGTTTCCGATTCTGTGTCTCCCTCTCTCTCTGCCCCTCCCCCGTTCATGCTCTGTCTCTCTCTCCAAAAAAAAAAAAAAAAAATGTTAAAAAAAAAAAAAAAAAAAAAAAAAATTTTTTTTTTTTTTTGGTCAAGGAACTGATGTTGTAATGAGAAAGCTACTAAATAATAAGCCCTTGGCCCCAGGTGCCCCCATTCTGTTTCACCATTATATTTTAGTGACAGGTTAGTAAGAGAAAGCTACTGATTTTCACGTGTTTACTTCATACATCCTTTGGGTGGGGGGGATCGAATCCTTTTATTTATTCCTAACAGTGTCTTTTCCTTATTGATTTTCTTCATTTCTCCAAACGTATAATGACATCACAAGCACATGTGCTGGGTCTCTTCCTTGCTAGTACTCATATGTGTACATGTCTACTGCATTGGTTAGAACTTTCTAAATAGTATCAAACAGTAACAGCTGTAATAGATGTGCTTGCTTTGATTCTGATGTTTTCAGAAATGCTTCCAGTGTTTCCCCATTAATTATAAGGAGCTATCACTTTCACCCACACCCACACCCACACACACTTTTGGTGATGAAGCATTTTAATACTTACAGTTTTAAAATAATTTCTAAAATTATTAAGAAAGGGTGCCTCAGGCCACCTAGCTGGCTCTGTTGGTGGAGCACATGACTCTTGATCTCGGGGTTGTAAGTTCAAGCCCCACGTTGGGTGTAGAGATTACTTAAAAATAAAATCAGGAAGGAAGGAAGAAAAGGAGGGAGGGAGGAAGGAAGGAAGGTAGGGAGGAAGGAAGGAAGGTAGGAAGGAAGGGAGGGAGGGGGGAGGGAAGAAAGGAGGGAGGAAGGAAGGAAGAAAAGAAAGAAGGAAGGAAGGAAAATAGAGGTCTCCCATCATTGTGAACTGCTCCAGACATTCTTGATGGTATCAGGACCACTGGGAAACATTTTAGGGTTAGGATACAAACATTCAGTGTCTGAGTAACTCAGTTGCCCTTCCTCCCAGAGCTTGTCAAATTATAGGTCGCACACCGGCACCCAGGTAAGACACTATCTCCCACCTTGACCTGGTCAGCCACAGAGCTTCCAAGGTTAATTTGAAAAAGAAAGAAAGAAAAAAACCAAACAGGTTTGTTTGTGTTTTTAAAATGGGCATCGAGAAAGGAGTTGGGGGGGGGGTCACGTGACCAAGAAGGAATTCCAACCACATCAAACAAGAGAGAACCAGCCTGTTTGCTGGACTTGTTTTTCAAAATGTCAGAGTCATTAAAAAAAAAAAAAAATCAGTAACCTGCCTTCGGACTTCCTTTGGGTAATGTAGTCCTTTGGAGAAAGTCAATGAAGTGACGGTAATCTCTCCTGTTTCAATGTTTGATTTTAATGGTGAAAGACAAACGCAGATGCCGACGATAAAAACAACTTAAATGTGCATGGCTTCAGAGTCTGTAATGTGCTTCCACTGACTGTCCTCAATAGGTATCGACACAGCTAGGGAGGGCATTATTATTATTTTTTTTATATGAAATTTATTGTCAAATTGGTTTCCATACAACACCCAGTGCTCATCCCAAAAGGGGGAGGGCATTATTATCACTGCCCCTGTGTTACAGATTAAGAGACTGATCCCCCCAAGAGTTGCAAGACTAACACTAGGTCCCTTGACTAGTGAGTGAGGAAGCCAGAATTCAAACTCAGTTTTACTAGAGTTCAAATACTTACTGTTTGGGGGTAACCCTGGTCAAGTGCCTTCCCACTAAAATGCAACCATTCTTTTCTATTTGTCACCAAGACTGAAGGAAGCCCGGGGCTGCCAAGGACGCAGCTGGGTTTGAATTACATGAATGCTGCCATTTGCAGAAGTTTCACCTATGCTAAGTGTTTTACTGCCTACAGCCTAAGAGGTTAGTGTTATTGCCCCTACATTGTGGACAAGGAAACTGAAGCTGAAGAAGTAAAGAAATTTGCACAAGAAGTGGTGTTGGTATTGAAAGCAGGCCATTTGCTGCCAAGGTTTTTCACTGTTAGGTTATACTGCTTCAATGTGAAAGAATCCAGAATGTACTTTTTAATTATTATTATTATTATTATTTATTTTTTTTTTTAAGTAAACTCTACACCAAGTGTGGGGCTCAAACTCACGACCCTGAGATCAAAAGCCACATGCTCCACTGATGGAGCCAGCCAGGCACCCCAGTATGTGCTTTTGAAAAAAAAAAAAAAGGAGGGGGGCACCTGGGTGGCTCAGTAGGTTAAGTACCTGAATTCAGCTCAGGATCTCAACATTCATGAGTTCGAGCCCCGCGTCTATGCTGACAGCTCAGAGCCTGGAGCCTGCTTCAGATTCTCTGTCTCCCTCTCCCTCTGCCCCTCCCCTCTCATGCTCTGTCTCTCTCTCAAAAATAAACAAACGTTGAAAAAATTATCTATGAAAAAAACAACAACAAGGTTCAACATACACAAACTGCAACCCTAAATCTGGCCAGCTTTTTGTCAATGCATTTGGGTATGGGAGAGGGGACAGTGCAAAAGAAAGCTCAAATGATCAGCAGCATTTCCCAAACTAATTACTGGGGTAAGATTTCCAATTCACGTCCCACTGACAGTTAGTACACAAGAGATTGTCACTCCTCACATGGGGCTTACCCAAACAACAGCGGAGCTATAAGCAGCCCTCACACCAACCCCATGACGCAGGCATTATTACCCCCCATTTTATAGATGAGGAAACTAAAGTTAAGCAACATCCATCTGATTGCTGAGCCCAAGGCTTACACACACTGGTTCTCTTGCCCATGTTATTTTTAACCATACTCCACTCTTGCCTTGGTGGACCACAATCTGTGATGCACCTGTTAGATATTAACAGAAAACAGATTCTTGAATTTGGGCATCCAGTAATAGTGACATAACATACGAACCAGGGTGTTGGAGACTAGTAAAAAGCTGGTCCCTGCAAACAAGCTTCCAGGTGTTTGCTAACGTTGAGGTGTGCTCTCTTGGTCAATCATCAATCCAATAATATAGTGGCCATTAGGGCACTGCTGAGCAGAACAGGAAGCAGAAAGTGTGTCTGCAGGCTGCCTTTGGAGCAGCCCCGGCTTGGGGTGAGGCCACTTGCCTCTTAGGAAAAAGAGCAGGAGGGTGCAAGGGAAACCCCAAGGACCTTCAAGCAATAGAAGCAGAGACTTGAAGGATTTCATGCACTGAGAAGTCAAGACTTCTTCCACAAGACCCTCTTCCCCAGGGCAGCTTGGGCAATCCTTACTCTTAACCTGTTTGGGTCTCAAAGTGACTCATGAAGACTTGTCTGTGCCTCTTACAAAGTAGCCACACAAACGGTTTTTCATGAAGAAAAGGCATAAGGGATGAGGGGAGGGAAAGGGGGCTACAAAATGCCTCCCCCAGGAGCGCCTTTTCATTTTTGTTTGCACAGACCACTACCAGGGAAAGCAGCTCGCGTCCCCGAGACGAGAGTTGGCCGAGCCAGCACTCCTCTTGGAAACTACACTTTGTTTTTCCTCCAGGGAGCTGGGGACTCAATCACCTGTGACTCACCATTCCTGTGTTGCCTACACAGCACACACGTCAAGGTCTAAAATGGCATCTGCTCCCCGTCCCCTTCCCCCACGCTGGCCCCCACCTGCCCCTGGGTCAGACACCTTGAGGGAATGTGTGCGGCTCCACCTTGAGCGTGGAAGCCAGGAACCTACAGCTCCTCCCCCCCCACCCCCCCCC